TGATTCCATTCCCTCTGCGGATTGAGGTGAGTGCGTTGCATGCCTCATACCTCCTTCGCTCCACCAGCTGCCTGCTACAGGAAGCTCGTCCACATGATATCGAGGGCAATAAAGTTAGGCCGCCCTGACCCTGGCGATGTTACGACGTGCACATCACCCCGCCGTGCCCTCCGCACTAGCGTCCTTCAAGAGAAGCGCACCCGCGCGGCGCCAGTTCGGCATCCTGATCGCTGGCCGCCAATGCCTTGAGCTTCTTTCAGACAGTGCAAGCACCCGGTCCCGGGTTCGTGACTGGACTGGATCGTGCATGGATGTACCTCAGTCGGCTCGCGTCGGCCAGATCAGAGCAGATATTAATAACTGGACACCCTTCTCACGGCGCGTCCTCCCATCTCCATTCCTTCTGACATCTCAGTGGCAAACACGCACCGATCAGACAAGATGAGTGACCCACTCCCGAGAACGGCTGGGGCCCAGCACATCCGAATTCGCAAGTCGCACAGCCAGCCCGACTATGGCACCATGCCCGTCATGACCAAGGTCACAGTGCAGACGGTGAGTCACTCTGGTCGTCACCATGCTGATTGCGTGCAGGAAGGGCTGCCCAGTTCTCCGTCGCAAGCGAAGGCTGCAGCAGCCTCTGTGCAGGATCGGAGCCGCTCTCTGACTGATCCGTCCTACTTGAACCATCTGCCCGTCCACTCGCCTCCGCACTGCATCGTGCAAGACACGATCTGCACGCCATTCCTCGACACCCCGCAGGCGTTCCGCCAGTCGCCCTTCAAGGCGATGGCCAAGGACTTTGCATTTCTGATCAAGAACATTGGTCTCGTCCCGTCGATCCTCCTCCCGATCAACAACTCGCCGATTGACCGGCATATCCGTTCCAAGGGTATCCTAAGCGGCCTCTTCCAGGTCGGCCTGATCTCGACATCCCTGGTCCTGACCGTCGGCGCCGTCACTAGCTTCTTCACTTCGATCCCTCCCATGGCCGCATGGGTGCCGGTCCTGACTGGGTTCTGCTGGGTTGGTCTGTGGCTGCAAGGCGGCCGCGTGAAGGAGAGTGACGGCGCCGTGAACTTTGTGGAGGGCCACGAGAAAGAGGAGTGGATCTAGTGCGTCGCATGGATATCACCAGGCGAAGCTAACAAGCAGCATAAACGGTATCGCCACCGACGGCTGGACCGCGGAGGCGACGGCCGACTACCTCCAAAACTTGTTCCACAGGCCCATCACTGGCGTCCTGAACAAGACGCTAGGCATGTGGTTCGACCTGATCGAATGTATCCTCCAGCGCGACCTCTTTTGGACCACGCAGGACATCCGAAGCGGCTACGAGGTGCGTGGTCCTTTCAATCCTTTCTAACGTGCCCAGATCGTCCGGAGCGCTATGATGGACCCGACCAAGGAGCGCATTGTGATCATCGCGCACTCGCAAGGAGGCATCATCTGCAGTGCCTGGGTGGTACGTGCCTCTGCGCCCGACGGCGCCCTGTTCCAACACTAACTTTTGCAGGACCAGCTGCTGTGCGACTTTCCCGCCGACACACTGGCCAAGCTGGAGATCTACACCTTTGCGTCGGCTGCGAACCACCTCTCTCGTCCGCTGTATCTAGCGAAGACGGCCGAGATCGCGGACGCGAAGACGATGCTTAACAACTGCTCCAAGATGTCGTGGGACGAGGTGAAGACGTGCATCCCGGCCGCGTTCCAAGACGCTGTCCACATCGACGGCGCCGGGAACGGAACGAGCACGCACGGGGGCAACTCGCCTGTCTTGTCCACCACCCTGCGCGGAGATCAGGTCGGACTGCGCGCTCTCAAGGCCACTCAGCCATTCCACCGCGTCGAGCACTTTGCGAACGAGAACGACTTTGTCGCCCGCTTCGGCGTGCTTGGCTGGAGCCCGCCCATGCCCAAGGAGCAGTACCTCGGCCCGCAGGACCGCATTCCGTTGGAGAAGGGCGACTTTGGAGGCAGGGTGTTCATGCGCCCGAAGACGTCAGGCCACCTGCTCCTTGCTCACTAGTGAGTCAAACGCCGTCGGTGCCTCGCCGCTTGCGGAACTCACTGTCAGACACGAAAGCTAACTCGCGCAGCCTGCACCCTACGAATTCCATTCTTGACGACCCAGTGGTCCGTGCCCACTCGCGGCTAGTCACCTACCTCGGCGGCGGGAACAGTCTCGCGAATTCCAATGTCCTGTCTGGCAGCCCTGTCGCCGACACGCCGTCTTCTGTTTCTGAGACGACTGCGAGCGCCTTTGCCAAGTCGCAGTTCTCCATCAAGCAGCGCGAGCTGCAGAAGAACGGCTCCAAGCAGTCGCTGGAGGAAGAGACGGACGAGGTCTCTGAGTACGTCTTGTAGGCGAACGAGCACAGACCGCTGTAAGGCTTGTATGCAAACGCAGAGTCTTGTCAATGCTCAACGGACGGTGAAAGAGGGGCGCGTGAGTTGAGGTCTTATGTTCCAGAACAGTAACACCGCGCACTGACTCGCGCGTCAGTTGCCTGACAATTCCATCGTTTCTGGCACTACTGACACACCGGCTGACTAGCGTAAATGACCTATCTCGGACTTTGAGAGGCATGAACGCCGAGTTTGCGATGTCGGTCCTCGTTGTCGACCATGGCGCAGTCAACAAAGGCGCATGAGGGCGTACTGGCGTCGCCAGGAACGTCTACCACGTCACCAACCCACAAGACCTCCCTGACACCAGAGTAGGTAGGATGTCTACGCTGAGTCACCTTTCAAGCACACGCTGATCCTCCAGTTCTCAGGCGCAGTCCTCGAGTCTTGGGTTCTTTGTATCATCGCTGCATCGTCGTCCACTTCACCCTCGCGCCCGCCCAACCCAGAGATCCGAGTGTGGACACTTGGCAACTGAGCCGCAGTTGAAGCTAGCTGGACGATGCAACCTCCTTGACGTTTCCACATCTTCTTCCTTGTTCCTCACACCACGATGCTCCGCAAGAAGACTCGTCCGATATCGTGTGCGCCTTCCTTGACCCCCAGCCTCGAGCTCGATCTCCCACCGCCGACGCTCGAGATTGAGTGGGCCAGGTCCACGCCCTCCCTTGACCTGAGTGGCATCTCGCGCAGCCTGTCGAGACTGAGGAAGTCGAGCATCCCGCGCGGATCCAAGCCTCCTCCAGCCTCGACCGTCGCGAAGGAAGACCTCGGCGTCATCCCGGAGACACCGAACGGCCACCAGCTCGACTTCTCCAAGCCTGCTCGGTACTCTGGGCCTCCGGTCGAGATCGTGCCGACGCACCCGCCCGCGCCGGCCCCCACGAGTCCAACAAGCCTCAACTCTTGGGTGCACGTCCAGGCAACGAGCCCCACAGCTTACCAGCCCATGTCGCCCTCGAGCCCGACGACGCCAGTCATGTCGCCGACGCAGGTCACTCCTCCACTCGGCACGACGCCAATCAGCAACTACTACACGAAGAACAATACGAGCCTTGACTTTTCGCGCGTGCAGTCTTTCCCCATGCCGCCCGAACGGGCAATTCTGAAGCTACCCAGCGTGTCCGACATCCAGCTGCCTGACAAGTGGGACATCGACGACGGGCGAAAGTCCGAGTTCCTCGACTCGAGCCTTCCGAACCGCACGTCCAGCCTCGGCCATGGCCCTCTCCTCAGTCCCACGAGCCAGGGCCACCTCGACGTCTCCATTCCCATGGGCCGAGACTATCTTTCACCAAGCGGGCACGGGCACTCGCCAAGCGACGTCGAGAGCGTGGAAAGCAGCGTCTCCACGAGCGACAACTACTTCAGCACAGTCAGTACCGGCACGCACCGCACCTTTGGCCAGGGGCCGCCGCCACATACGTTTGAACGGGTCGAGACGTGCAGTCCTTACTACCGACCAGAGGCGAATGCGAGCACTTTCAGTCTGTGAGTAAGCCTCAAACATGACAGCAGTGTGAGGAGCAGGAAGAAGGGAACTAAAGGGCGCGTCATACCGTGACTCGTCGCTAGGTTGCGGCGACAGCCGTGCGGAGATGGGCACTAGTGACATGGCCGCTGAGAAACGCGTTAGACAGTAAGCGACTGTGTCATTTGCGCCAGACGTCAAGGTGGGGCGGATCGTGAATACGTGAATTGCAGAGTAAGCGTGTCTCAGCGCAGACGGAGGGGACCTCGTGCCGATCGCGCCCTGGGCTGAAACACGATTCTGAAATCAATCTCAGGCGACCTGGTTGCACACCACAGCTGACATTGCAGACCGACACCAGAGGACGAACGCAAGTGGACAGAGTGGTGCTGGTGCAGCGGTCGCAAGTGACTGAGCTGTGCTTGTCGGCGTGCTTGCGCCGGTGAGGCAAGTGATATATCGTACGCTCCTTTAATCCGTTCGCTGTGTGGTACAAGACGCATGCCATTAATTCATCTCTTCGCTCCACACGAAGCCTGCTGCCTGCCTGCGCAGCAGCCACTGATGAACACGCTACCACTGCTCATCACTCACTCACTCCGCCCCACCAGAACGCGAGAACCGTGATGGACAGTGACCCCGTTCAGAATTCAGAAGTGTCTCGCTGTGCATCACATTCCCTCAATGCCTGCATATAAGATGCTGGCCAGAGAGAGCGCAACATACATCAGTACGACTAACATTGGCTCTCCACACACCACACCCCGTCTGCGTGTGCGAACGTGCTGTCTATAGTTCTTCGTATTCCCTAGCCGGCCGCCAACGACATCCCCAGCGCACCGCCGGGCGAGGACTGCATCCCGATCTCTTACATGCTGCGACAAGCCCAACTGCATTGCTCGAGTTTTCTTCCAAGAAGCGTCAGGCAGCTGAGCAGCTGCCGTTCTGAAACGTGAAACCGCCAGCCAGCATCGACCACCCGGCCCCTACCCCACCACCCGTCTATTCTACCCCGCATCCTCCATTCTACCCGCGCGCCACTGCCAAGAACGAGCATCCGTAGATGCAGTTCCCGGCTTCCCCTCGTCCCCTCCGCCCCGCTCTGGCCGCGCCCAGCACGTTCCAAGCCCTCAAGCAATCGATCAGGTAAGCTTATCCCTCTCCTCGGGTCGAGCAGTTCGCGGAGAGTTCGCGCTGACACATCTATAGCGACCTGCAGATCTCGGTGCTCCGGGTCTGGCTCAAGATTGCGTATTTCCCGCACTGGCTGTTGTCGGCGCCCCGACCACAGCATCATTACAGGCGTAGCAGATGCCGGTTCCAGCACCGCCGTAGCTGGAGCTTCTGAACGCGACAACGCTGTGCAGCGTACGCGTTATAGGCTACGCGGGCACCGCTGACTCAAGGGCACCTCTCGGCCCTGCTCCCGAGGCCTCGTCTCCCTGCACTGCGCTCTCGGTCCGCATCCCCGCTTCCTCCCAAGGCCTAGGCTGGATCTCACTCCCAAGCTCCCATCCCCCACACCCGCGCGTCCTCATGGCCTACATCGTCGTTTCCGCGTCCCGAAATTTGAACACAGGCATCGCATCGCACTGTATCACTTACACAACTTCCCGCATATCACCTCGTCTCCCTCCCCTCCCCGTCAGTATCAAGCATAATCGCACTTCACGCGATTTCCAAAAGCGATTCCTGCAAGGCAGCCCGCAATGGCTGTCTGCCGTCTCGCCATCTCCCAGTTGTATCAATACGCTGTATAAACAGATCACGTTCTCGTATGAGGGTTGTTGTAGAAGATTAAGCATTACGCTATTTAGCGTTCGCGCTTATGCAGTCATTTCACGTTGGCTGAAAAGATTAGGTTCGGGGGTGGGGGAGGATTACAAGTATGGGTGATGCCGATTACAAAAGGGAATGGATTGAGTTGTAATGAGCGCCTATGAGGGTCAAGTTGTCGAGATCGCAGTCGGTGAGTGTTCCGATTAGCCGGATTGGGAAATAAACAGGCGTGTCCTGGACTCGGCTCTGGCGGGTGTGGCCCTCTCGTTCACCCTGGATCCTTAGTGAGGACCCGAACCCCCTGCGAATCACCCTGCACACAGCTCTCGATACGTCCCTGCAGGCGGTCCCATCCCTTAGGCCACCCTGGGACCTGGCCTCCCTCCCAGCCCCAGCCTGCCCAGCCTGCTCTCGTCCCCGCTTGCAACGCGCAGTGCATCGCTCGGGCTGGTTCAGGCTGGCTCTCACCCTGCAGCCTGGCCGCCGCGCTTCCACACCAAAGACGCCCTTAGCCTCATCTCCCTTTTCCGTTCACCGTTCCCGTTTCGACCCTCCTTTGTCACTGTCACTTGACTCTTGCAATCCATCAACAACACCCTACACACGATCAATCTTCTACTCTCTCCAAACCACCACCCACTGCCCCCGTGCTCTATCACTCTATCCCGCCGACTCCGTCCCTCACCCCCCGCATCTGCGCCCCGACGTTTACGACGCCCCCCCCC